CGAAAAAGTGAAAATGCATAATAGGACCCCTTTAAAAATGAATGTTTGAATAAATGTCAATCTGACTATCCAGCAACTGCAACAATATTTGAAGTTTGAGAATGTTGGGTGCTCGGTTAAACAGTCAGTTCTTTCTCAGTAGAAGTAAACTGTAGAAAAATACCGGATCGTATAACTTTGAGCTGTAACTGGAGAAGCCGTCTGAACAGCCTATTTGCAAATTGTGGTCAAATATATAATGTTTCAGAGGTTGTCACAAGAAAGCCTTTAATTGGATTCTAATGTGAATGTTTTGCGCAGTTATTACAGTTATTTTGCTAATAAATTATAATTACTATAGGAGATACACCAACAATTAGACCTGAGTAGAATAAGAATTGTCCTCTGAAATACAAATTGTGATTTCAAACAAACCATTTTCATTTCTAACAGTCAGAGAACGTCTTACATTTTCATTAATGCTGACAAAGTTACCAATGTACTTTATCAAACATTTCTGCAAGTTTTCTTTTTGTCTTTATTTTTCCATGTGAAGCAAGTTGCACTTCTTGTTTGCCCTTTGCAGTAAGGATATATTACCCCACTGTCACATTTTCTTTCCAAGTATGACCTTTTCAGCAGAAAATAACTCTTCTTGAGAGCCTTGCCTTTTTTTCTTGGTATTTTACTGTCAACACTAAGCATCCTCCTTACCTTTAAACACATTCTGTGAGACCATGTACTGCTATATGTCCACTGGAGGTCACCAATTGAGGATAGTGTATTTTTAATTTACTGGCCTCATTGGCATTCATAAAAGTTTGGTGATATAAATAACTAACTCAACACAGATTAGCTCTATCAAGGCTGAGTTGTAGCTCATGGGTTATCTGCTATCTGCTAAGTGAATCATTTGATAGCCTGTTGTACCCTATCTAATGCATTATTTTTTATTAGTTACTTGGCAGGACGACAGGGTTTAGCAGGACAGAGTTCCTCCTCCTTTGAACATTGTGCATCCTTTCACATTACATCAGTGATTTTTTATTTTTTTCCTTTCAGAGTATTAATTCCAGAACTTCAAACTTAATCCTTCCTTTCCAGTCAAACTCAGTTTCACCTCAGCTGAAGAATTTGCTGTTTCCGTACGCTTCCTCCGAGTTGAAAAGATAACAGTTTCCTGCAACACTCTATAATCTTATAGAGTCCTTATGTTTTGTAATCTTTTATTTAGCAGTTTTTTATCTTTTCTGAAAAAGAAGAAAAAAAAAAAACTCCAGTACAGCCATTATATTTTCAGCTGAAGAATATCTGTGCTGTAAATAAATCAATGTTGTTGAGCCGCTAACAGAAAATAAATAACTGAGAGTTATCCACATCAATCCTCTTTGGACATCCTCAAACTGTATGGGTAATAATATGCCACCCACTTCATTAGCCAACGTGTAGTCACATGATCAGAGACTAAAATACTGTAGGATTGGTTTGGATAGGCCAAATTTGATTTAGTAAATGGATTAGAATAAATTGTCATAGTCCCATTGGATATGCTAGATTTGTATTTTATAATTGATTATGTCTTATAACACAAATGTGTCTGGTTTTTGTTTGTCGATTTGCATGTATTTGCATATGTTTACAGGTAAATTACAGTAATGAGTATTTACTCACCAGCTCCCAGTGAGATTTCTCATTGTCACTTTTCACATATCAGCTTCACTCTGACCTGGATAAGGGAGATAGTATGGTGAAGTACACACTCTCAGGTGAAGGAGTTGGCTCTATTTTCACGATCGAGCCAAGCACTGGAGACATCCATGCCTTAAGGAGCCTGGACCGAGAAGAGAAGCCTTATTACACACTGAGAGCGCAGGCTGTGGACGTGCTCACAGGCAGAACCTTAGAGCCCGAGTCTGAGTTTATTATCAAAGTCCAGGACATCAATGACAATGAGCCAAGGTTCCTGGAGGGCCCATACTCGGCTAGCGTCCCAGAGATGTCACCCGTCGGTGAGTTCACTTCTCATTATGTCCCTGATGGTTGGGTGTTTGATACTGTGAGAAAATCTTGGCCTCAAAGCATGTTGCTTTAAAGTAAGATAAGAGCCGTTCATTCTTGATGTGACGATCTGAACTCTTCTTCTTTATTGTCCACATACATATTCAAGGTCAGTAAAAGACATTAGACATTAGTCTGTTGCTCCTAGTAATTAACTGCACTGATTTATCCCTGCTGAAAAATGGCTTAAACCAGCCTAAGGTGGTTAGTTGGTCTCCCAGCCTGGCCAAGCAAGCTAAGCTTGTCTGTTTTGATGGTTTTAGAAGGATTTTGGGCACGTTTCAGCTGGTCAGGCTGGGGACCAGCTGGCCAGCAAGTCTGATAACTAATCCCAAATACTTAATCTTACAGCAAATTCTGTGGAACACTGCTTTTCCCCTTAGGAAAACATTCACAACTGTTCTGACTCTTATATTTCTGAACAACATTTTTGAATTGATTATTTTAAAGGCCATTATTTAGATTTGCATCCTAGATGGTTGGGTGTTTGATACTGTGAGAAAATCTTGGCCTCAAAGCATGTTGCTTTAAAGTAATATAAGAGCCGTTCATTCTTGATGTGACGATCTGAACTCTTCTTCTTTATTGTCCACATACATATTCAAGGTCAGTAAAAGACATTAGACATTAGTCTGTTGCTCCTAGTAATTAACTGCACTGATTTATCCCTGCTGAAAAATGGCTTAAACCAGCCTAAGGTGGTTAGTTGGTCTCCCAGCCTGGCCAAGCAAGCTAAGCTTGTCTGTTTTGATGGTTTTAGAAGGATTTTGGGCACGTTTCAGCTGGTCAGGCTGGGGACCAGCTGGCCAGCAAGTCTGATAACTAATCCCAAATACTTAATCTTACAGCAAATTCTGTGGAACACTGCTTTTCCCCTTAGGAAAACATTCACAACTGTTCTGACTCTTATATTTCTGAACAACATTTTTGAATTGATTATTTTAAAGGCCATTATTTAGATTTGCATCCTAGTGCAATGAGACAGTATGCAGCCTACTCACATTTACTCACATTTTTTGTACATACACTTGCGAGAAAATGTATGAATATCAGATGTATGACAAATAAAACTAAGAGAGTAGGAGAACTGAGCAATATGTAGTCACAAAAAAAACTGAATTACCAAACATTTTCTTTCATATAGACCTTAGTCAGGTCTTAGACGTCTTATTGAATTAATTGCAGGTGAAAACAAGTCTGTGAGGGATAGATTTACAGTCTTTACAATGGCACGCACTATTTTATTTTTTATTTTTTGAAAGACATTTTGTCAGCTGATCAGTATTTTGTTTAACAACAGTACAGTCCATTAAACGCACTGTACTTCTATCCCTCAGAGACTAATTTTCATTCCTGTCAAAAATTAAATATGGTGCTACCCAGATTAAGGTCTATTGTGATGCACTTTCGAGTGTAACAGATTATCCACAAAGAAAAAAGAAATGTAGGATGGGTATATAGGTGTCACAGTCTTCAGCGGGTGTGCCCAGGAGGGCCAGCAGATGACTGTGTTCTGGGAGCACATGGCTTGTGTTGTGTTTGTCTGTTGCCATGTGCTCTCTCCTGTCTATTGTCTGGCCCCTCCCATCTTGTTACCTCGTTATTGTTTAAGTTGCTCCACCTGTGTCTCCCTCGTTAGCCTCCTCGTTTGGTTCCTATTTATTCTCCTGGTGTCTGTCATCCTGTGCTGATCCGTCATTTCTCATTGTGTGTGTTATGTCTGCATGGAGTGCAGTTTTGAGCCTGCTTGTCTGTTTTTCCCCTTCGGGGTGGTTTGAGTTTGCTTTTGTTTCATTTTTATTATTAAAATAAATAACCATTTCTCCTGCAATTGAGTCCTCGCTTCCTCTATCCTCACGCACCGTGACAATAGGTTGTTTAATGGATTCTGAGATGTGGGTGATGCACTCAAAAATGAATGCAAGATTGCAGTTGGTAGTGAAGGGGCGGGTTTTAAGCAGGCTAAATGACTGGTAAAGTCCCACATACATCACCATTCATTTAAAAATAAAGTTATGACATTTTGATAAAACATGAAAGATATTTCTCTGGTGTTTATATATTCATATTTATATGAAATCATAGTGCTATCTAATGTGGTGAAGTACATATTTATATTAAAACCTATATAAAACCTATCATTATATACACTGTAAAAGTGTTGGGACACCTGACCATTACACCCACAGGGACTTTAATGACATTGTCTTCTAAATACATCCCTAAAAAGCCCAGCGCCAGAAAAACTGTGCCATTATCCCTCCCCCACCAAACACTACAGTTAGCACAATGCAGTCAGACAGATGACTGTCTCCTGGCATCCTCCAAATCCAGACTCGCCCATCAGACTGCCAAACAGGGAAGCGTGATTCATCGCTCCATAGAACATGTTTCCACTGCTCCAGTGTCCAGTGGCGGCATGCTTTACACCAGGGGTTCTCAACTCTGTCCACTTTCCTGGAGAGTTTAGTTCCAAACGTGACCAAACTCACCTGCCTGTCTAGTGATCCTGAAGACATTGATAAGCTTGTTTTGATTAGGGTTGGAGTAGGGGTGGGCGATATGACCAAAATCTTATATCACGATATGAGTAATTTTATTTCACGGTAACAATGTACTGTATATAACAATATATACAAAACTGATTTAGTCAAGAACAGTGAGAGATTTTCTCTCTTTTGTTGTTTGATTAACATGAATGACAGACAGCGAGAATAGACTACTGTCACTTTAAGAGCTGTCCAGATCCAATATACTGTTACACATGT